AGAGAGAGAGAGAGAGAGAGAGAGAGAGAGAGAGAGAGAGAGAGAGAGTGGCTATCGTGGGGCACCCACATCTTGAATGTATCTGGCCAAGTCCGTCCGTTGTGTACATTGAGTTGATTTGCAGGACTTGGCCAGATACAGTGACATTAAGGGTGCCTTGCGTGAAGTAGTTCTCTCCGTCCCTCTCTCTCTCTCTCACACACACACACACACGCACACACACTCATGCATCTAAGTAGAGGGGCGGTGTCAGTGCGACACCAAGAAACGACGAATTTACTCACCACTTCTGCTTGCTGTGCAGGTCGATTGGGCGGTGGGCAAGGGCGACACCAAGAAAGCAGAGGTCTTCTGCTGAACGCGAATGCGCACGCGCCTGCCCCCCACGGATTTCGCGGATTTTGGAACTCGCTGATCTTGGGCCTCGCTCCACTACTAACGACACACAGAAAAGACAAAAATTATGGTAGTGTATCTTGCCATGTTCTAGAGGAAGATTCGTTCTCATTTTGCATAAATGAGTACTGGAGCGAGGCCCTTCGTGTGACGCGGTACAAAAGGGCAGAGCGCCCCCCCACTACTGGTACTCTTACTGTCAGAATAGTACGCCCGGGCGCTGTATACTTTTTATTTTTTTAAGGGTCCTCACGTCGGCAAAGTTGGTTGATTTTTTTCAGAATACAAAGCCCGGGCGTTGTAAACGAATATTACGCCCATAGGGCTTTATATTCGTACATAACGCCTGGGCGTTATTTTCAGGTGAAGACGGTAGCGATTCTGTTTTTTATTTAATTTTTAATTATGTATATTTTTATTTTTATTTTTATTTTATAAGATACCCTTCTATGATCACGTCGAGCGGGTTAACCGGGACTTCCTGCAGCAGTGTGTAGAGAAAACGGGAGTGGGAGTGGGCCGTAATTTTGGAAACTGGGTTTGAGAACTTTGAGTGCTTTATTGAAATTTATTCTGATTCAAGAATCAAGAGTGATGGTGCAAGGCAATGTTTGATGCCCAACGACTACCAGATACTCGGTCAGTCAGAGAAGGAGACTCCCTGAAAGATTAACTTTTTCTTTCTGTAATGGAAGCTGTGGTTGATTTGTCAAGAAAAGACCCATCCAATGCATCTGTTGAATATCTATGAATCAATGCTTCTACTGTGATTATGTGTGATGTCATTTGCTGATGATCTTGCAGTCATACCTAGAGCACCGAACTCATGCTTGTGAGCTCTTATCTGATAAGTGCAATGCAGGTGTGGCATACTGCGTAGCCACACGGGCCCTACAGGGCCCGTCCCGGACATTCAGCCTAAAAGCCTAAAACTTAGGGCTTACAGGCCCCGTTCATTTCAGCCTGGATGCTGAAAAACGAGGGCCTGCAGGCCCTACCTCGTTTCAGCCTATTTCTGGGTCTTTTCAGACCCAGAGTTTTCAGCCTGAAACGGAGGGCCATTTTCAGGCCCTCATTGTTTCGACCTGCTCCTGAGACTCAGGCACGGAAACAGGGATGCGGAACAGGCCCAAAATAGCCTGTTCCTCACGTACTCGAGCAGGAGCTGCAGCTGCAGCTGCAGCCCCTGCCGAGGAGTATAACACACAAGTTTCCTTGTTTTCTTTTATACATGAAAAGGGCGACCACATTGAGATATCAGTATGACCAGCCCTACGTATTGTCGTAGTTATATTCATCTACTTTTCAGTGGAGTTCGAACATAAAACTGCATTTTACTAGTTCAGGGGTGTACCAACTGAGCTAGGTCATTTAGACGTTTTGCTTTTTCAATCTTTTGAAGGGGGGAGCTCCACTCCGAAAAGGTTAACTTTTAGTATACTTGTCAACAGTTCATGTTTGTAATATACAGCTTTTCAATAAGGAATATTTTTGTCCTTCAACTTTATCTCCCGATTCGCCAATAAACAAGGTGGCCACCAACAATAGCAGGTGGGGATTGGCCGTAGAGGACGGTTGTGCTATTCTCGGGCCCGGGTCCCACATGCGCCCGGTAGTTGTAGTTGACTACACATTGTAACACCCGATAGCAAAAAAACAAAAACTACCGGTCGTGTGTTGAATATGGACAATAAGGAGGTGGTATAAATTCATGAGAAGATGGACGGCCCAATGGGTCTTGCGTAGTTGCTGCGCCCATTAAGTATTAAAATATAGTCAAAAACTAAAATCCAAACGAATTGTTGACTTACCTAGGGTCAGTCAATTTCGCTAGCACTATACCCAACCAATTTTTTCCAATGCAGCCTCCCTTCGGCAGGCTCAAGAGGCACACCCGTAGTACATAGGAGGTTCCCATGCACTTCACGGGAGGGTAGTGTCAGTAGGAGAGGTAGTCTTCAGGATTCGGCCGCAGCACTCAGGAGGAGCGCTGCAGTAGTCTTCAGCGCTAGGTAGTAGTGGGTAGCGTTAGCTGTAGTCTTCGGCGCTGGGCGCCATAGCTGTAGCTGTAGTCTTCCGCGCTGGGCGCTGGTAGGTAGTAGATCGTAGAGTGGGAGAGAGACTGGCGGAGGCCAGTGTTACTTACCTGTGGCGCCATCGCTCCAGCTCCATCTTCGTGGTACATGCATCAAGGCGCCAACTTCACAGGTTAGTACTGGACACAGAGAGAGAGAGAGAGTTCTTCTTCTTCCTCTTCTAAGTCCACCTTCTCTTCTCACCCTCTCGCCACCTGACTTCTCAGACTACGACAGAGAGAGACAGAGTTGTGACTTGAGACTTGACGACATTGGATCCAGACTTGACATTTGGGATTCAGACAGTTCGACGAGGGACTATTTGGGCTTGTGCCGAAGACTTGGTGTTGACGACATTCCCATCTTCCCCCTCCTCTTCGTCTATCCCCTTCCTCCTCGTCTGTGCATGTTCTGGGCTGGCGCTGTCTTCCTGTGTGGAGCGCCAGACCCATTCACACTATGAAACGATGATGATGATGTATGTTCAGGGCTGCATTACAACATTGATGGTTTGGATCACTGGTATCTAAGCCTTCCGCTGTGCTATCTTATACCTTGTATGGAAAGGTCGGTTCTTGTTCTGGTCTGCACCTATACGGTATGCAACAGCAGGCTTCCTGCTTGGCATTAGAAATGAAAATCAATTGGAATAAGATATTTGGGTTTAGTTGATAGCCACTGAACCCTTAAAAAAAAGAGAAAAGAAAGCAAGTGAAGACACAGGCGGTCTGCGATTGCGTGAGCGCTATGAAACAGCTGCAAGGAAACAACTCGCATTCCACTTCAACTCGCATTCCACTTCAACTCACATTCCACTTCAACTCGCATTCCACTTCAACTCGCATTCAACTTCAATTCGCATTCAACTTCAATTCCGAAGAAAGCCTGTCAACACATCTAGTATTATACAAGGATTTCCCGATATCTCACGGCCACCCCCAAACTGCAAAGATCAGGTAACTGCAATCCTCACTCCCTCTGCCTGACTCTCTCTCTCTCTCTCTCTCTCTCTCTCTCTCTCTCTCTCTCTCTCTCTCTCTCTCTCTCTCTCTCTCTCTCTCTCTCTCGCTCACTCACTCTGTTCCTCTCTGTCCTTAGATCGCTCACTCTCACTTTCTGAATACACCTCGCTCACCCTAACTACCCTATCGGCTATGGCAGCCTCCATCTTCCCGCTTAACCCTGGCTATGCACCGGTCTCCTTCCTCAATCTCTCTGACGCGCACAAGCGTCTAGCTGAGCTTCCACAACACACGAATTGACAAGTGAAGTCAAATGGCACTGTAGCATCTATTAATAACAGCGCCGGTTGATGTCTTCTGTCGGCTCCGGACCGCTACCGGTCTCTACAGCCTGTCGGCTGCAATTGCCAGCTCCGGAACTTACCGGTCTTTCCCGAGATGCTGCTGCAAAATTGGACTTGGACTTTTTCTGTTGGGTACCGTGCCTGAGTTCCACCGACCTGCGACTTTTCAGCTACTGGACCCTACCGGAGTCCTATCGGACCTATGGGACCTGTGGGACTGGGCGCAATTGGGACCCATGATTCTGGAACTGGGACTGGGACTCGGGTACTGACACAGCATGGAATCCTTTCATAGTTTGTGTTTGAGTGTGAATAGAGCCCTATGAAATTTTGTGCTTTCAAGTATGAATCAGCACTCAACCACCAGTACATCCAAGCGTCTTGTTTTCCGACGCTGATATCTTCCAGTCAAGTTTTGAGTTTAGTCAGACTGGTGTGAGCACGGGATCACAATTTTTTTGCCTGGTGCCACCAGTCTTCTCAATTTGGTAGGCCAAGCCAGAAGGATGTGGCATGTCAACCACCGTGTCAGAACAAATAGATGGGAAGCGTTCTGGTTGCTGAATGATTCTGATATTAGGCTGATAATGAAATGCTGACATATCTTCTGGGGCAGCATTCTTAGCAGATTACCAGGATAGAAAAAAGGGTTTTCAACTTTTCAGTGCTTTTAACCTTTTTTTTCTCTGGAACCACTCTAGTAATCAATTTGTCGTTTTTTGAAAAATTTTCCCATGGTCATCTATGCTGGGAAGTTGGGAACCAGTGAAGTGATTTGGATCAAGAATTTGTAATTCGTTTTTTTTTTTCTTTGTAATTCCATTTTTGTAATTTCACTTTTGTAATTCGATTTTTTTAATTCCATTTTTTTATAAATAATATTTGTAATTCGATTCTTTTTTACATTTTACAAAAGTAATTTGGATCATCATTTTGTAATTCGATTGCTTGGTGGTGACCTGTGTAGCATCGTGTTCGGGTTCGGTGACCGAACCCGAACGTTCGCGACCGAACGCAAATGCGCGCAAACCCCCCCGAACGCGAACATAAAAAACATTTATTAAAAAACAAATAGATTTCTCCAAAAAATCTTAAAAAATATATATGTTATGTAAAATAATAAAACAAACAACTTTTGCCTTGGGGGTATGCTCAAATTCGTAACCAAACTCGAGGTAAAAATCAAAAACCAAAAAAAAGAAGTTTTTTTTTTTTTTTGTTTGGCCGAACACGTTTGGGGTGCGTTCGGCCAAACACCCGAACATGTTCTGACGTTCGGAAAAGCTCCGAACATGTTCGGTGTGCTACACAGGTGGTGACGAAGGAACTGGATTCTCTTTTTTGTTTTTTGGCATAAAACTGAGAAAAGCAAACTTAATAATAGTATTAGTACATGTTTCAAAAAGGGAAAGTAGCCAGCCTCCTTGAACACCTCTCATAATATGTTCTACACTGTAGAAAGCTAAATCTACATGAGGCGTATAATGCATTGCTAAAAAAATGCCTGTAATTATCTGGATTACCAAACAAAGACCAGCAAGAGATCCAAAACCCCACCAATAGCTGAGATTGTGTACTCCCTGCTTTGGAGGACATTGATTTAAAGCTCGAGTACGTCGTGTACGTCGTTTTGATTCTCTACCATGACAAATTAATTGATTCATTGTAGTCATATGTGTGGTTTTGTTTTTTGTTAATTAAATTAATGCAACTGACAGGCTTCGGTAGTGTGACCCGCCTGACCTGGCCCTTTGATATGATAGATATCATATCCTCAGAATCGGACGCACCATTTGTTTGTTCTTTTTTTCTTTTTTTGGAGCAATTTCCTTTGAGATGTAAACATGGTGAAGTGAGAACCTGAAAATTCGGCTGTTTTCGAATCCCCTTGGGAAGCTAATCTTTGTTTTTGTTGACTCTCTTTGGCATGCAGGAGCGGGTTACCTTTGTCACATGCGAGGATGAGGAAAGAGTGGCAGACATAAGGGCCTTGTGCGGAAGGCCTGTCAGGTTAGCTTTTTCTTTTTCTTTTGTTTTTCAACATCTGGACAGCTGTGTGTTCAGCAGAAAATGTTTTTTTTATTGTAATTTACGAATTTCTAATTAGTACTAATTTCTAATTACTAATTACTAATTACTAATTAGTAATTACTAAATAGTACTAATTACTAATTACTAATTAAACTCCAGTGACTGTACCAATCAGTTGATTGAACAATTCTGAACTTGATTGGCTAGTGTTGTTCCAATTGGTCGGATGAGTTCACAGACACAGAGAGAGAGAGAGAGAGAGAGAGAGAGAGAGAGAGAGAGAGAGAGAGAGATGACCGGAGTCCGGCCTCTCTCCTCGCTTTCGTGCTGTGTCGAGGGTACAATGAGAGGTGGGACATTTATGACTGTGGCGTAGATTATTTTGTCTGGCAGGTTGTGTTTCTGTACTCCGACATTGCGGCAGAAATACAACCTTCCAGGCTCCAGCCAAAATAATGTACGCAGAGCCCCCACCAATCATTGTACTCCCTCCACGCAGCACGAAAGGGAGGGAGAGAGTCAGAACATCTCCTTCTCTCGCTCTAAACTCATCCTACCAACTAGCGAAGCAATAACGAATCAAGTGATTAGTACAGTCATAGGTATGACTCTCATGGGCTGTATTAGTGGAAGGGTTGGCTTGTGTGCTTTTAGGCGGTATCTGAGGCTTGGTTTCAGACGAGCCTCACGAAGATGGCATTGTTGTTAGTGGCTATGGCTGTTGTTATGAATTGGGCCTGACTGAGAGACGAGTCTCCCGTGTGGGCTGTACTATTTACAGCACATGGGGTGTCGTGGAGACTAGGGTGCTTTAGGTAGTGATACTCCTGGAGTCCTGGTGTCATATTTTTCATGGCTTTGGGGAAGTTGCAGGCCGCATTTTCGCTCTTCTCTCATGCTCGGTGGGTCGGCTGTGGATCTTCTGTATTGATGTGCATGTCCAGCAGATGGAGATTGTTGTTCATTTGCCAATCAACCGCTAAATAAAACACTGTTTTCAAACCTGCAAATAAAACAATGAAAGGACCTTCATCTATTTTATGTGTGGGGTTTGGATATGGTGTGTTATTCAGTGACTGATGAACAGGTTAGCAACGTACATTTGCGTGAGCAGTGGAGGGCTGTCTTCTTGGAATGTTGCTCCCCCCCTTTCCGGTTTTTCTTTTTTTGAGAATGTTTGTTTTAGACTTTTCGTAATCATCAAATACGAACTTTTTTTTTTTTTTGGGTGTCATCTAATGTCCAGGAATGAATGTAGTCAATGTGGAAAAGAAGTCGCCCATCTGCATTCTGCTCTGTGTGAATACGGTGGCGATGTGCATATGACTTCTGTATGGTTTTTCTCTGTTTCAGTCAGCGGTGTTGACGTCATCATTATTGGAGCCTTTGGCAAAGCATTTCGATCGATTTTGAATATGCTATTGAATATGCTATAATGCTTTGTTGTTTTCCGTGTTCTATATGTTCGCTGTGCTCTGTCACACACTGAGTCCTTGGATTGAAGGGTTGGCCTGACAAATGGTATGGGGTGTCATCCTGGCAGGCTGTTAGAGTAGAAATGCGCTCCAGCAGCTTCGTGCTGACCCCTTTTTTATGGCTATGAATTTCCAGGCTGGAAGCAAGTGCGAATGGCGTCAGGATCACAGCACACAGTGGTTCTATACCTGAGGCCAGCAGCAATGATGAAGCTGTTGCTGCAGTGAGCACCGCAGGTGTGCCTTCTAAAACATCTTCTGGGAACGGTCACATGGACCACGGAGCTGAACATGAATCAGCAGTTCAGGTATTTTCCCTCTTTCCTTCCCTCCCCTCCCTGCCCCAATCCCCATCCCAAGCCTTTGCTGATCGTGTTCTGTAACTGCCGACTTTGTGCAACCTTTACCCAGCTTTATGCGGGCTCAGGTGCATGAATCAAAGACACATTTGGCACAGTTTTTATTTCAAGATCACAAGTACAAAAAAAAAAAAAAAGGCCTCAAGTAGATCAAGTTACATATTTCACGCAATTCCTTTGGTTATGTGTATTTTATTTGAGTTTTTGTGTTATTTATACTTTATTATAATATTATGTAATGATGGATTTACGGAAAATAATTCTCAAATCACACACAAAAAAAAAAATCAAAAGAACTTAAGAGATTTCATGCAGCACCACCCCTGCGAGAGGCAAGTAATGGCTTTCCGTTGATCGTAAAACCTGGTCATTATAGCTGTATCTGACTCGAAAATTGCCATAAATTGCAGCTGCTGTGGCAGTCTGGGAGGAAGAGCAACCACTTTGTCCTGCTCTGGCATGATATGAAAGCTCTCTGGCGTGCAAGTCATTCATTATACTGCCATGCTAAGAGAGCGACCAAAAATAGTTTTAAAAAACTCACGGTATGCTGTCAGGAATAGCATCCTCATTGTCATGGGTATCAACAGGACCACCTCTGAGTGAATCTTCCCGGAGGATTGGAAAGGGGGTGGACCACCTCTGAGTGAATCTTCCCGGAGGATTGGAAAGGGGGTGCTAGGGGGCGGTGGTTGAGGGGGGCTTCTGGGGGCTTGTGGGAGTGGGTGGATGGTAGAGGGATGGGTTGGCCTTTGCCCATCAATGCTGGCAAGGGTGGGAGCAAGATGAGGAGGGTGTGTATGTACCAGCTAGGTCTACGCACACCTGCATAGCATCACCCAAAGGAGATTTTGGTGCTAGCCTGCTAGGGGATGGGGGTTTGGGGTTTGGGTGGGTTGGCCCTGCCCATTAATGTTGCCAAGGGTGGGAGCAAGATGAAAAGGGTGTCTGTACCGTCTAGTTCTACGCACACCTGTATAGCAATACCCAAAGGAGAATTTGGTGTATAACATACCGTAGATATGTAGTTAGCTGTGGTGCCAATCATCCTTATGCTGTCGATTTCCGGCACCTGGTTTTGCTCATTTACAAGGGCCTGATTTTATGTTGAAAGACTTGCAAACATTACATGCTAGCAGATGCGGTTACTACCGTCTTCCCCCGAACACAACACACCCTTATTTTGACTGTATCGGGCTGGAAACATGCCTTGCATACGTTCACTTTCAGGGTGCGTTATGCTCAGGGGAAGACGGTAGCTCCGTGTCATGCAATAAGCTCTCGGTCAATCAGCCGCACATAAGGAGTGACTGCAAAAGAAACGATAGTTATCAAATCCTTTGAGATGCACAGAAAGGCACAAGCTCTTCGATTACCAAAAAAGATACGCGGTGTTACAATAACCTTAAAAAGTTAATATGGATAAGAACATTAAGAAGTCTAGCAGGACGATAGTGGGACAGGTTGAGGGAGGGCGGAAGAGGCGCACAAATTGGTAGGGCTTTCCCGCGGTCTTCTGCTTTTTCTGGCCGGCGAGGTGTTTCTGGGCCCGAGTTTCCAAGGATTGTAATCGAAGACAAGGACAAAAAAGCCGCGGTTGAGTTTTGTCTTTCATTTCAACCTTTCTTGTTTGAAATACAACCTGGGTAGACGACGGCAGAAACATTTCAGCTTGTAAACATTGCCCCTCAATCACAAGCCCGTTTTTTTTTGTTTTTTTTTTATAAATAACCAGTGTCCTTGCTAGGAGAGGTGGTAAGAGCACCCCCTCCTAGCAAGAGACTTTTCTGTTTGAAATACGACTTTTGTGAAAACTGTGCAGGACTTGTGAGGGCTTCTCGTCGAAGGGAAACATTGAGGATCTGATTTATTTTCATTTTATTTTACTTTACTTTATTGTGAAGGGGGCAACCCCTGACAGATAATTTATCCATTCGATTCGATTGGGATTCGAACACACGGTCTGTTTATCAACATTCAGCCACATGGGCTGGGTGATCCAAGAATTTCCAGTCTTTAATCAATTTTTATGTCAAGCAGAAGGTGGTCAACCTGGGCTACCAGCCGGGCCGCCCGGGTCATCTTGTTTGACTGGGTCACCCGACTGTGCAAGGCCCAGGAAAGGTCCCGGCCTGTGTAGCATCGTGTTCGGGTACGGTCACCGAACACAAACCAGCGCCAAAACTCTCCGAACGCGAACATAAAAATATTTAAAAAAAAAAACAAAAAAAACTCTCAGAAAAATCTCAAAAAAATATATGTTATGTAAAATAATAATACAAACAACTTTTGCCTCATAGGTATGCTCAAATTCGTAACCGAAGTCGAGTTAAAAAAAAAAAAAAAAAAAAAAAAAGATTGAAAAAGTTTTTTTTTTTGTTTTGTTTTAACATGTTCGACCGAACACGTTCAGGAGGCGTTCGGTCGAACACCCGAACATGTTCGGACGTTCGGAAAAGTTCCGAACATGTTCGGTGTGCTACACAGGTCCCAGCAAGACGAAAAAAAATAAAAGAAAAAAACGAAAACAAAAAAAAAATCCGGAACGGAAGTTCAAAAAACTATGTTATGCAGAAACATAAACTGAACAACTTTTGCCTCAGGGTCATAATAAAAAATAATTTAAAATTTTAAAAATTTAAAATATATAAACTTTGATGAAACAGTTTTTCACAGCCCCTCGTTTGTTGTCCTCTTCTCCCTCTTGTCCCTCTCTGCCTACGGTTTACCGTAGGCAGCTCTGTTTGATGATATATTGAGGATGTTGTGAAACTACATCCTGGACCTTAAAAAAAAAAAAAAAAAAAACCGCCGAAACAGTTTGTCACAGCCCCTGGTTTGTTTTCCTCTTCTCCCTCCCTCTCTGCCTACGGTTTACCGGGGAGATACGTTTGACTATCTATATATATTTTATTATTTTCCAATTCGTTTTCGGCCCGGCCATGCAAGTTGCTCTGGGCCACTCTGGTAGCTTAGTTGACAACACGAAAAAGGGCAAAAGAAAAATCATTTTGAAAAACAAAAGGAAACAGAAAAAAATTAAAAAAAAATCATTTTCAGAAACAGAAAAAGGGAGCTTGAATCTTGACGTTGATTTCGTCTGCACTTGTGATTAGGGCTTAGAAAGATACATGGGGGGAAAAAAAGGACGTGTATGGAATCTATGGGATTCAGAGGAAGAACAGGATGGGCAATTGCAATGGCTTTCGTGACAGATTTTGCCTGTTGTAGGCTCACCTGTGAAGAGAACCCCATGACAGCCCATGAAAGGCACTATTACAATCTTCAACCCCCCCCCCCCCCCCAAGTCACTCCCCTGTTATAACCCATCCGCCCCTCCATGCGTGCACCCCATGATCCTCCCTTTCCCCCTGCCCCTCACAGTCCCTCACCCACTCGCCCCAGCCTCGTTGACCGGCCACCCTGTTTTTGTGTTTGAGTGGTTACCTGGTAGCCACCGATGTTTTTCTTGGTCTTGCCTGTAGCCAATCTAGCGGCCGCATTTGTTTTCTATCTCCCAGGAACGGAATCGCACTCACAGGCCAGTCATGGAAAGCAAGTGATGGTCTACTCCCCCCCCCCCCCCCTCCCCCCCTGTGCAACCCCTCAACCCCTTTGATTCCCCCAAATGGCGACTCCTCTCACCCTTAATCCCTCTCTCCCCTCTGTCAATTGCACATGACAATCCCTCTCCCGCTCCCACACCCCGTGTAGCACATGCTGCCTTTGCTCACATGATTGCCTGTGGGTGTCATTACTGTTCGATCAGCAGATCTTCTACCCGAACGGACACTTACTTCTGGACGTTAAAGACGCCAGTCCAGAAACAGCCGGTGCGAAGGCAGCTGCCTGCGGGAGACTAGCGCAGTTGGCCGCTTCATCTGCAAAAGGTGTGTTCTTCTTCCTTGGAAAGTTGACTTCCACATAAATGACAGTGGCTTCTTCGGGGTAGGGGGGGGGGGGGGGAGGAGGGGAGGGAGGTGGGGGTGTTGTTTTCTGCCCCTCACTTTTCAGCCTTTCTCCGCTGCCGATCATCCTGAATGATGTCCAGCACACGATGCAAATCTGTTGACCTTCTGGGCAGAAGGGCGATGGTCCTACCTGGTGCGACTCTATACAAAAGATTTGTTCTCTGTGGCAGTGAAAGCCTAGTACATTTTTTGATGATTGATGCGAGAACTAATTCCTCCCCCCCCCCACCTCCTCCCCCCCCCAAAAGGAAGTAGTGCCTGACCTTATTTTATCCATCTGGCTACAATCAGGAATTGAACTCCTGACCTGTACATGTTTGTACCATTCAGCCACATGGAGTCGGTACTCCTAGGCGGCTTCGTCATTCTTCCCATCGTCAGATTACATCTGCTCCGTGTCCGTTCTGCCTTGTTGGCTGTTTTCTGCAAAGGGATAGTCACTCCTGCCAACCTACCGTCTCCACCCGAATAGAACGCCCAGTCATTATCGCTGTATCTAGACAGGAAGTTGGCCCAAATACAGCTGTACTGACCGGGCGTTCTATTCAGGTGAAGATGGCAGGTCTCACTTATCCTTGAAGGGTAGTAGGTTTTTGTTTCATTATTCGCATTCAGATTTGCTTTAAATGTTTGTTTTCTCATTCATGTTCAAATTTTGCTTTTTGCAGAAATTTTGCATGATTAGCTTGCATCATTTTCTGGCCTGCAAAACGAAAAATCAGAGGGGTTGCTTTTAATAAGCTTTTATGGTTAGTGATTTTAATTTTTGTCCATTGCTAATTAGTAATTAGTAATTACTACGGTGGAGAAAATAATAAAATATCGAGCTCCGGGTCGAGGTCCCGCTTATCCTGGTTCTTCATCTTTGGTCGTTGATTTCTCTCTAAGTGACGGTCAGAGATGTAGACTCTGGGTTAGTGAGACATTGCCCCTGGAGAGAGCTTAAAATTTGAAATTTGAAAAGTTGAAAACCCAAATCCTCGTTTTGGACGACATATCATTCCAAGTTCAAGCCCATGAAAACAAAAAAACGATGAGCATTAGACGTTTCATTCCTAATAGAGAAAAAGCTCAGGAAGTCCCTGCTTTGCAGAAGCTTTTGGCTATGGCTGCGAGCTAGTCCATGCACACGAACTGACATGCAGAAGCTTGTGGCTATGGCTGCCACTCCCTACGCAGGTATGCTGGAGCTTGTACCCCTGGCCTGTGTGACATGCAGAACACTGTGGCTATGGCAGCCAGTTAACCACTCCTGATGCCAGACTTTCACTGTGGCTCGTAGGCCTTCCAGTTGCCCCTCTTACTCTTAATCTGTAAATATAGGACCCCTAGTTGTTAATATGCTCATGCTTACAGCATGCACGCACTTCCATGTGCCTGAGAGAGCGGGGGAGAAATAACCGTAGGGAAAAGAGAGAGAGAGAGAGAGAGAGAGAGAGAGAGAGAGAGAGATCATTTTCATATTGTGTCATCAGCCGTAGCACAAAAGGAAAATGAACATCTCTCTCCCTCTCTCTCTCTCTCTCTCTCTCTCTCTCTCTCTCTCTCTCTCTCTCTCTCTCTCGCCCTCCCTCCCTGCATGAACGGGTTTGGCACACAGCTATGATGAAGCTGCAGTGGTGGATTCGTTGTGGCAGTGGAATGTGACAAATTGCTGGCTTCATGAACGTTTCGCTGGAACATCAACCTGGGCATTTCTTGTGACACTGCAGCTTCATTCGTTGGGAAAGACATTTCCTTAAGCAGGGGCACCGCTGCAATTGGTAAATATTTGGAGCAGTCTAGGAGCCACCTGGGAAGTCTCCCCAGCCACATATGTGTGTTGCCGTTCGAGGGCCATGTCTCGCTGGGTACAAATGTACTAGGACCGTAGAACCTGAGTTTGCGTTTTGCCACAAGTCCTCACTTATTTAACGTCCATGAGCAGGTAACACTGAGTTTAATTTACATCAAGTGTTGATTATCATGGCCTTTCTGGGGCCTTGGGTCTGAGGTCATGCATGGGTGGATAGATCATACTTGTTCGTAGTGTTGGTGTGTGGCTCACACTTATGCAGGGAAGAGAGACTACTGCCCTTCGTTGTCATGTTTCTGTGCTGATCTGTCGAGTACGGTCTGATATGTTGTGCTTTTTCACTTTGTGCAGTATTGAATGAAAGGGGTGTGCCTGCAATGTTTAGGGTGCCGAAAAGTGTAGCCATCCCTTTTGGCGTGATGGAGGCGGCCGTCAAGGATGCTGGTGAATCTGAGAGATTCGCATCGCTCTTGGAGGCAATCGAAGTTGCTCCTTTGGCCGGCGGAGTGTTAGATGGGGCATGTGCAGAGTTGCGGGAGCTTGTCGGTGCTCTTCGACCACCAGCCAGTCTTGTTAAGTTGGTTGAGGACGCGTTCCAGCCTGATGCGCGACTTATTGCGCGATCGAGTGCAAACGTAGAGGATCTGAAGGGTATGTCTGGAGCAGGCCTGTACGACTCTGTGCCCAATGTGAAGCTACATAAGGCGCCGAACGCTGCGGGGGTCGACTTTGGCGAAGCCGTGGCGCAGGTATGGTCGTCGTTATACACAAGGCGTGCAGTCTTAAGCCGCAGGATGGCCGGCGTGCCGCAGAGGGAAGCTGTGATGGGTGTCCTTGTGCAGGAGCTTCTGACCCCCTCGCTGAGCTTTGTGCTGCATACGCGCAGTCCTATCGACGGCAACGAAGACATGGTGCACGCTGAACTGGCACTTGGACTGGGCGAAACGCTCGCTTCGGGAACGAGAGGCACGCCCTGGCGCTTGGCCGTCAACAAACTCACAGGCCAGGTAAGGACGCTGGCCTTTGCGAACTTTAGTGAGAGCTTAGTGGTGCGAGGGAACGGGAAGTCGGAGGGGAGAATGGTCAGGGAAGTTGCAGACTACAGTGGCGCTCTCTTGTCGAAGGACTCGGAGGCACGGACGTCGCTTGGACAACGACTTGCGACCGTAGGATCGTTCTTGGAGCAGATGTTGGGTGGTGCACAGGACATTGAGGGCGCTGTCGTTGAGCGTGATATTTTCATTGTGCAGTCCAGGCCGCAGCCATGAGTAGCCTATATTTGTCTTTGCAACTGGAGGCAAGAGGGTGGTGTCAAGGCCAGAGGTTAGTGACCACACAACATTGAGGTACCCATTAATTAGATCGGCACTCATCAATCTTCCATAGTTGGGTTCGGAGTGCAGGCGCAGTAATGGTCTGCACCTGCCAGGGCTCAGAATTTGTCAGAAATGAAAATTGAGCCATAGGGCCCGTAGAGCCAAAGAAGTCAGGGGGGCTCAGGATTTGTCGCAAGTGTAAGCAGGTGTGTTCGTAGAACGGGGTGTGTGGAGAGGTGTGTGGGACGAGACGCAAGAGAGGGGAGGAGTTGGCAAAGTTTTTGAGAATATAATGTGTATGGGCACTTAGATATACATTCATGGGCATTGATGACGTATCTTCAGAAAGGTTCATCTGTCGCTGTGAAGGCCAGATCAATACCTCACCTCCTTGGTAGGTTTCTATTGGTTGTACTTGTTCACAGCATGTGTTTCAATGTGAGCAGTGGTGGTGCTGCGCTGTGTTCGTCTCTGGAGCTAGGGAGCGATGGGAAAAGAGGAGTACACAATGCTGACAAGCAATGGGAGAGGTAGGCATCAAAGGTGAATGGTCCTAGAGGGAATTTGGCAATTTGCACAATGCAGGAGTTGCACACACCCTTGCTCGTAAGGTCGCTGTCGTTTCCGATGAGATGGTGTACCTTTCGCGACGCTGTTGAGAGTCTCTGTGAGATCGTCAATGATTGGCTGGTAGGTTTGGGAGAGGTGTGAGGCTGTGCTGTGGTGATGTAACTGATGGATGCGAGATGCTCTCTGGGAGGTAGCCGAACCGGTAGCATGACAGCTCGTCATGTTGTTAGGGGTACTACTCACGGCGTCTCACTTGCAGATATGTTGCACTCCTGTATTGATGATCTACATAATTAGATCTTATAAGTGGAGTCTGACAAGACTGTGACATGTGTTGAACCGTGGCACACCTGTGCCATGTGTGCATGTGCGTGTGCATGGGCTTGTGTGTGTGTGTGTGTGTGTGTGTGTGTGTGTGTGTGT